CGCACGCCGCCAATTTATTGTCAAAAATTTCTCATGCACATGCAACTTGTATGAGATCAACCGAAATTGAACGGCGTGCGTATGAAGCTAACTCAATTTCCAATTTTTGTTCTGCGTGACATTTTGATTTGACGTTTCGCTCAATGAAATCAAATGCAAACGCATGCAAGTCAATTTCGGGTGACGCAAAAAAACAAATTCGACGGCATGCGTACCAAAACGCAAGCCGCGAATATTAGGTTAGCCTGTTAGTCCGAAGTTTTTCTTCCTGCAAGTTCATGAAAAGTGTCAAACGATAGGCAGGGTTGCGTTTGTAAACAAAAACAGATAGCAAAGAAAATTAAGCGCCACGGAGACAATCAAATAAATACGTCAAGCATTGCATATGTGCGAGATTGGCTCGTGTCTTGCCCGCAAACGTTCAAATAAACGCGTTAATTCAACAAACAATTTCTTTTTCTTGTCCGCGCACTTGCTCACCACGACGATCAGAAGGCAAGTGTGCTTGTTTTTTGTCAAGCAAAACGCGAGACGGATGATATAGATATTTGATCGTCTCAATGGTTCCTAACATTAAAAAAAAATGGAAGTAGTTACAGGAAAAGAGATTTTTCGCGTTCCAGGTGACTTTTATTTTTTCGCTCTTGCTCCTCTTTTTCAAGAGAGTAATTTTGTTATTTGACAGTTTTACAGGTTTTTACACGAAGCTGGAACGCAACTATTCACTTTATGTATTTATCTCACCTGCCGCCATGCTGTAATGATTAGGGTGACCAGATGTGCCGAAGGAACAATCACGACACTCGCAAGAGAACATTCCCCTCCCCCTCCACCGCAACATACAATCGCATCTTTGCGGTTCATGGTTATTAATTTGGGACAGGGCCCTTAGACTGTTTATACACGGAAACTTTTGTCGACGCGATTTTTCACATTCCCTTTTGGTGTTGCTCGTTTCATTTCAAAAATGATAGAATACAAGAGTTGCGTTCCTTATCTCCCAGAAAAAGTCCGAAGTAGTCAGATTTAGTCCGAAAAGCGTTCCTTAACTCGAAAATGACAGCAAAAATGGGAGAGCAACACTCAGTGAGAGTGACTCTCTTCAGTCCGAAGTAGTCAGATTTAGTCAGAAGAATTTTTTCTGGCAAAATCCTGAAAAGTGTCAAACTCAATTGAATTTAAATTAACGGAAATTAAAAAATACGCAAAAAGTGAGAATAATCTAAAAAGTAAAAAAAGTGAATTGAAATTGGAAGGAGGCAAAAAATAATTGATATATTGATATAGTAAGTGTTTATTGTGCTTGTGCTTGTGTGAATGTGTTTTGTACATACGTTTCCATTCTTATTTGAAGTTAGTTTTGTTGTTGCCATTCTTTGGACTAAAAATTTGGTTTTTTGCGTTCCTTTACATTTCCTGTTATTCTCTTTTAGTGAGCGCATTTTGCTTACGCTCTGGCATTTTGACACTTCAGATTTTAGTCCAAAAAGATAAGGAATGAACCTAAGATTGCGCCGTCCTGGCCGTTGACATTTGTGTACCACAAGTAAACAAAGAATAGAGACAAGAGTAGAACGAATTGAAACTGTCAAAACAGTTCACTTTACNTGGTGTTGCTCGTTTCATTTCAAAAATGATAGAATACAAGAGTTGCGTTCCTTATCTCCCAGAAAAAGTCCGAAGTAGTCAGATTTAGTCCGAAAAGCGTTCCTTAACTCGAAAATGACAGCAAAAATGGGAGAGCAACACTCAGTGAGAGTGACTCTCTTCAGTCCGAAGTAGTCAGATTTAGTCAGAAGAATTTTTTCTGGCAAAATCCTGAAAAGTGTCAAACTCAATTGAATTTAAATTAACGGAAATTAAAAAATACGCAAAAAGTGAGAATAATCTAAAAAGTAAAAAAAGTGAATTGAAATTGGAAGGAGGCAAAAAATAATTGATATATTGATATAGTAAGTGTTTATTGTGCTTGTGCTTGTGTGAATGTGTTTTGTACATACGTTTCCATTCTTATTTGAAGTTAGTTTTGTTGTTGCCATTCTTTGGACTAAAAATTTGGTTTTTTGCGTTCCTTTACATTTCCTGTTATTCTCTTTTAGTGAGCGCATTTTGCTTACGCTCTGGCATTTTGACACTTCAGATTTTAGTCCAAAAAGATAAGGAATGAACCTAAGATTGCGCCGTCCTGGCCGTTGACATTTGTGTACCACAAGTAAACAAAGAATAGAGACAAGAGTAGAACGAATTGAAACTGTCAAAACAGTTCACTTTACAGCGAAAAACGTGCTTTAATTCTGATCAATGCGAAAATATTGCATTTTTCATCTAATCTATTGGAGAATAGTGAACGATTTAGTACACTCCATGCTTTGCAATTAAGGCTGCTGGAGCAAACGTTTTAGTGTACTCCATTGCTTTGAAATTAAGGCTGGTGCAGCAAACTGCGAAAAAAAGAAACAAATCAAGGAAAAGGAATAACAAATCGTCGCCTGGGTAAATGATTGTCGTATGTTAATTTCGGCAGGTTGTGGGAAATCGTGATTGAAGTTTGGAATGCAAATTCTCAAAAACGCGAAGATAGATTTTCTCCAAAGTCTCTGAAAATGTTACTATTTCACAAAATTATTAAATTTTTAATGTTTATTGTTAATTAGTTTTGAGTGTATGAAGGATTTTCTTTAGTAAAATTATGTCGTAAGCGTCATTTGTTCACAATTTGGTAGCCACTTTATATGAAATAAGACAAAATGTGATCAAAATGTCTGCAAAATTAACGACACCTTTTACTCAATATCTCGGAAACTAAAGGAGATATCCAAAAAGGAGAACGCCATTTTTAACATATTGATTAGTTTAATATTAGCTCTGATCCAATACTTTTCGTGAAAAATCCTGTAAATGTCAAACAGCAAAATTACTCTCTGAAGTGAGAGTAAAAAGTGAGTAACAACAAAAAGTACGGGAACAAAAAAACCATTTTTCCTGTAAAAACGTCAACCAGTGATTGCTTGACACTTTTCATGATTTTACCAGAAGAAAAAGTTCGGGTAAAATCTTGCAACTTCATTCTCTACACAACTCTCCAAAAGACGCTCTCATTTACAGGATTTTGGAGTACGGGAACATTTTTTCTGCAACTTCCTGCAATTTCGTGTAAAATCCTGTAAGTTCATGGAGTACTGGATCAGAGCTATTGCTGCATCACTAACTAATTTTTTAATAAATTATCGAAAAAATTGTAGTCAATATCTCGGAAACTATAGGAATATCTAAAAACCNGAGTACTGGATCAGAGCTATTGCTGCATCACTAACTAATTTTTTAATAAACTATCGAAAAAATTGTAGTCAATATCTCGGAAACTATAGGAATATCTAAAAACCGATAACACCAATCGAAAGGCCTTATTTCAAAATATATAGTTGCATCTAGAACTAAAAATCGTCAAAATGGCGCTTACGACAATCTTTTACCCAGCCGACGAAATATTAGGATTTGGTAATTAAGTTAAATAATTACAATGCACTCAAAGAAGAAATGTCTGGCAACACCAGCAAAGTTTTGAGGCGATTTTGCCTCAGTATATCCAGTAAACAAACTTAGCAACTTTTTTCCACCAAATTTGGTCCCCATAAAGGATTAGTGTTGCAAGCAACGCTTTTTCGTCAAAAAGGGTGTTGTGCAGCAATTTTATGTGGTGGAAATTATTTTAGCACTGGAAAAATGGATAGAAAAATATTGCACTGCGATTGAACATCTCAGGTTTCGCTGAAATATAAATGTATTAAGAATAATTATTTCTCCAATAAATCCTTNTGAACATCTCAGGTTTCGCTGAAATATAAATGTATTAAGAATAATTATTTTTCCAATAAATCCTTCTTTTTTTATTTTACTGTGTCGAGGTCGTTGAACAAATATTTGTAATTTAGTATTTAAGTTAATTGTGAAATATATTGAATGCACAAATTAAGTTATGGGAGCGATTTATTCATAGAATTGGAAATAAGGTTGATGATATACTTTAAATAAATGGTGAGTCTGCGAAAATATCTTTTCAGCATATGAATATACTTCTTAACATTTTCCCGAAATTTTACATACAGGCTCGAAATTATGCCAGTAACATTCAAATATCGTCGCTTGGATGGAAAATTTCCGTAAGCGTTATTTTGACAGTTTGTAGTTAAAGATGCAGTTATATATTTTAAAATCAGATATTTCGCTTTTTTTAACAGTTTTTTGGATATCTTCTTTAGTTTCCGAGTAATGACTAAAATCATTTGGTACAAATTACGTTAGTAATGCGGTCGTACTAAACTAATCAAGATCCTTCAAATAGCGTCATCTGTATTTTTAAATATCTGCTTTAGTTTCCGACATATTCAGCANGTTAAAGATGCAGTTATATATTTTAAAATCAGATATTTCGCTTTTTTTAACAGTTTTTTGGATATCTTCTTTAGTTTCCGAGTAATGACTAAAATCATTTGGTACAAATTACGTTAGTAATGCGGTCGTACTAAACTAATCAAGATCCTTCAAATAGCGTCATCTGTATTTTTAAATATCTGCTTTAGTTTCCGACATATTCAGCATTATCATGAGTTTCATTTTCTCGAACCGGGCCATCTTTCACTTTTCGTTTCCGTGTATTCACTACGGGTGGGTGAAAACATATCTGGCGAATTTTTTTTTAGGGCGAGACTCAC